TCTCATGGAGATGTTCACTAAGGCTCGTGAGGACGTTAAACCAACAGCCAGCAACATGAATCTTCTAGTTAGCACCTATTAACTATTCGACTTTTAGTTCTTTTGTGCTCTTATTTGAGTGCCACCACACCGGTTCATTCCACACAAACAGCATTCTGAACTAGTCCTTTGTTTGTTTTTGATTTCTACACTGCAACCTGTACTGTCGTTAATAAACCACTTAAGCAGAACTGTAAATTAGCCCTTACCGACATCAGCTTGTGCAGCTAAATTGAGAATCGACTCGTGTTCAAAAATACTTCGTTGACTGTACACCAAATAGACCAATCGCCACCGTAGCAGGTCTATGTCATTCCTCCTCCTCTTTGTCTCTTTTCAGACGTACTCTGAGGAATTGGAAAAACTAGCTGACAACTGGGCGTCGCGCTGTAGATATGATTATCCTGATACGGAACCAGGATACGAGAACACTGGAATGTATAAAATTGTTTCAGTGGATCGAAAACCCAGTTACGAGGAGATGGGTCGGTTTGCACTGGAGGCATCAAGCAAATACAATTTTCATACAAACGATGATTGGAATTATAGGCTGGTAAGTGACCGCAATCAGTAGTTTTACTTTGAAGACATTTTAATACAAATATGTGTAGCAATCATGTTCGAAGGCGTCAAATTAAATCATGGAGATCTAGCAAGAATGCTTCCACTCACAAGCCCTGCAGTCAAAGCGTGTTTACATTGGGTTAGTGATGACCTCATAATTTCTGTCTCATATTTCCACATTTGTGATTATCTATTTTCAGTTCATTCGAGCAATATCGACGGGAGTAGGATGTGCACAAGCCAAATGTCATAATTTGGAAACTTCGAAGGACGTGTATTATATGAATTGTGTTTTCAATAACGCGTAAGTCAAAGACACCTGATTAATGTCTGTCAACATCATCAAGTCATTATTTATTGTACTATTTTCATATTAAATTGGGAATTAATACTATTGAAAATGTTAACGCGATAATGTCAATTACATTTTTTTTAAAGAACACTGTTTTTTTGAGAAGTGACCAAGTTCGTGGTGGAATGCCATATGAATATGGAGCGATATGCAGCATGTGCCCTGCGAATTTCAAATGCCACCGCAATCAGTGCACCAAAATGCTGCCCCCTGCACCCCAGGACCAACTGATACCAACCACCACTTCTGCTTCCACAACCACCAACGCCGTTGCCACTCTTCAAGCTGCGATGCTTTCAATTTCCTACTTCCTCTAATGTTCCCTTTTCCTCTCATGGTATCGTTAATGAACCGAATTCTACTAAGGAGTTAGGCCTAATGATGTCTTTTCTCACATCCTCTGTTCGCCTTCTATGAAATTGGGCACCTAAAACCGGCATTATGAGTTTGAGTTTTTGCATTACATTACTAAATACACAGTGAGAACTAATTTCAGTGCCTTCTCAACCTCGTATTTTAGTCATTTTATGCATGTTTAAGCAGTCAGGAAACAAAATATTCTTTTCAAAACAACGGCTAATGCCGTTAAATACCACTTGCCGAAAGTTATGTGCAAGTACAGTAAAATGACATCATGCATTGCGTCGGTTTCTGCGACACATGACATTTGGATGCATCGATTCCACGCTAACCAAAAGGCAATTTCATCGCAGAAAAACAGGAAGGTACTACAATAACCTACAATGTCTCCTCAGGAACTCGTCATTTGCCACAATTATGCACCTTTCAGAATGATCAGTTTTGTTTATCCAAACTAAAATATACGAATAAAAATCTCTTACGTTGCACCTTATTTGGACGTTAAAGTACAATATTTGATGACTGTGGGTCACGGTTATTCGTGCACTTTGCATTACGCTTGGTCTTTGAAGTTGTCAACTGTCACAAGAAGCTTGGTTTTGTCTGATGTCAAAACCTGTCGTGCGTAGTAGTGCTCATCGACTGGATTAACTACACAGTGGATTCGTTAGCATTTCATCGTGCGCTGTTGTGGTGACAATGTTGGTTGACACCAACTGTCACCAAGACAGCTCGGAAGTCTGTGCCCAGCTTGTATGAATTGACTTTGTATGCAAGCCCACCCTCATGTGCCAAAAAGTAACATAATTAGCACGATGTCATTGTCGTGAGTGGCTATAGACAGCAAAACAAGGCAATGTGTGCTATCCTAGTCTAGTCTGTGGTCACTAACCTGATAAAAAAACAGGATAAGGACAATTTAGCGTAAGATCTAATCTCACGGTAGTAAGTTAAATTCCAGCCAATTGTGGCGGAATTGGAAGTCAATAATGGTAATTATGTGGTCTGTCAAAAAATGGGGTTTGTCGCTTAATAAATAATCGATAGTCGTGCTCGATATCTGAGCTCTGTTAAGTGTTCCTCTTGTGACGAAAGGCTGGTGTTTGATCCACCATGTGCCCTAAAGGTGTTTCAAATTAAAACCATATTGGTAATTTTCTGATGTCAAGGCGTTTGGAAAAGTGATTTTGGATTGACACAATCAAAGCCCGTGAATACTGATGCGATCATTCAGACAGGAAACCATGATCACTGTCACGGGAATGTGATATTCGCTGTATCTGCCTAGGATACAATTAATGCATGTGCTCCTCTGCACAGTGATCATTAAAATGTTTTTTTGCAAATAATCAAGCATGGGTTGGGATGCTCAACCATATCTAATTTGTGCTTACCATAAACAAATTGAGCATTCTCACCAAGTGAAACAGCCCTGCTTGCCAGAATAAAACGAAAACAAATGAACAATAAACCTACTTCCGCACACATGCGATTGCTTTAACCCGTGCACCCTTGTGCATGATCTTTTTCGCATCTCATTAAACTCATCTGATCACTTAGCCTTTCGTAGGTTTATTGGTTAACACAAACTGCATTTTTTCTCAACATCGCTTTAGTCAGTCCATCTGTAGTGGTTCCAGACCACATGCCAGGACCCGCAACTTACCAAAAGCTGCAACCGTGTACACGTGTACACATTTCAAATTTCTATCACGTCCTATCATTTATTGCATTTATGATTGGTTAAACACCAGCATACATTCAATATTGACCAGGTGTATTCCGGTAGGGCCACAGGCTGCATTCCCGAATGGCATTTAGCACTGGTCGATAAGATTTGGAACCCGGTTG